CAGCTATACGGGAAGGACAGGAAGGAGGGTCAAAGATTCTGCTAATATCTTATCCACTTGGATACATTAACATGCACACGCAGCGAATATTGCAAAACGTTCATTTTAGGCGAGGTCATTACCAAAAAGCGCGACGAACTCTCACGCATTCTGCATCATTTTAATATCGCCGTCGATAACCCGGCATGCATGATGAATCAGGACATGAGCCGCAGCTTCCTGCAGTCGATGAAACCCAAAGGGTTATACCAAGTAATGTTCGTTTTGCCAAAACGTGGGATTAAATTTTATGTTGAAGATTTTCATGCATGCCACGCAGCTATGCCAAATGGAGGAAAATCTGAAGATTATTCAAGAAAATCACAAGCTGACGAAACATGCTATGAAGGAGAAGGAGTCGGTATGGCTTTATGATGATAAAGGTAGTGTTGTTGTTTTCACGGCTGTCACCAAAACTGATATAGCCTACTCCAGTGACATCCAGGGTCGCTGTCTTTCCATATCTGTCGATCGTGGGCAACGTCTGTCCCCGAATTCAGCCAGCTCTTCTTCGCGTGTTTGTACCCGTACAGTGCCGTTCTCGAGAGAGGACTTAAACAGCAACGCTGACAGTGTTGCACCATGTGTTGGCTTGTTCACCGCTTTTTCGGTGCTGTCCAGGGATCGTGTTTGGGTTTAGTGAAAACGGGGCGACATCGCCTGCTGGACTTATCAGCATGTGCCACAGCCAACACAGTTGTCGTTCTTTCACGATAGTAGGGAACTTGGTGGTACTGCTGCGGACATAGATTATGGCGTTGCATGTATGGTCGATAAATCATGTTTAACAGATGGTAATATAAACATCTGTGGTCGAAAGATAGTAGTTTCCTCACGTCTTCGACTCTTAGAGCCTAGCTCTCACATTCATGAAGGTGGATGAAGCGAGTAACAGCTTCCAGAACTCAGCATTTCGTCTTCATACTGATCTGCATTCCTTCCACAGCGGCTTGCAGAGAAGTAGGCTATGACTTCTTCATGAGGGATCATACACAGAATGGCGTTTTTCCTTTTGTTCCGGGGTCTCATGGGAGACAATTTTTGTTTTGCTCTGTGGATAATTAGATCCACTCTCGCAGCTACGTCGTAAATTTGCTTAAGGATATGCTGGAAATGACACGATGCGGGGCAGTTCGATGACAGTGACATGTCGAACAGGGATATTGTGACCCCATCTAACTTCGACGCCGGCGAAATCCTTCAGTGCTGTTAACATGATATAATTAATGACGCGGTGTAGTGAGATGAGGAGAGAGCTCGAGGCCATGACAAACGCAAGTAGCAATGTCAAAGAATTCCGTCAGTTTACTGTAGACGTGGACTCTTGCATTCGATATATATTGGATGCACGAACTTATGGATAAAGTTATAGATTTTCGCAGTGCGCCGCAGGGAGTCTCGATGAACCGAATCGAATGCCATCGAGAAGTCTACGAAACACACAACGGTGGGCAGTGAGAAATGATGGAATGACGGTGTTCTAGCGTGCGGCGCAACTCGAAGATTTGATCTATACACCCTCTTTCAGCACGGATTTGGTTCGTCATGGGTGGTTTGGAACCCTTGTAGCAATAGTGAGGCAAA